CAGGAATTGTCTTTTGAGTGATATCTTCCGCTCTCATTGCCTTCTCACGTTTCCGATAAGCTCGTTAACCAGTACTTCAAGATGACATGGTACGCAATCGAGGTATTTTGAATTGTCGGCTAAAATGATTCCTTTGTGATGAATAAAGAATTTTTTTGTTAAATGCAAACTTTAAAATTAATTATTAAGCAAGGAAATACAAGAGACATTGCACACAATATATATCACAGGCAATAGCATTCAAAACCAAAAAATTGAAATAATTAATTGAAACACCGTAAAGCTTAATACAGAGCATGTAAATTTAAATGGTAATTGTCATTAATTGAGAAAGCTCTTCACTTCAATGGAATATAGGCAATACTTATTTATTTATTTATATCAAATGGCAGGCGTTTTGATAATCATCATTAGCCCTTTAGATGACTTCAGGCTTCACACAGAGGAAGGAACATCAAAATGAAAAAATCGAGAGGGGGGGGGGGACAGAAGATGTAAACGAGACAGACACAAAGGTAGAAAAAAGGTAAGATGAATACTGTTGTAGGGGTCGAATATGACATACAGTGGGATCATGGTAGTTTGAAGTCAACTGCCAGGTAATAGACTTTTTGCCATATGAGTATACGTTGCCCAGGGTGCACCAAGTGAAGGTAAGTCTATCGCACACCCCATATAGACAATACTTAATCTTGGTCATCAAGAATGACATACTAATTAGTTTCTCGAATTGTCACCAGATTCTCCAAACATTAAAGTGTACTTTCGTTGTACAAAAATGGGCACAATTAAATATTAACTTAACGCACAATGAGATTTCATTCGACCTATTGAATTTATTTACTATGCATATGGAAGAAATTTTAAAGACAACCAATTATTTCTCTTTACATGAAATCATTTCAGTTCTAAATTTCAATGTCCTCTGTTTTTGTTATCTAGGTTTTGCTTTTTTCAATAAACACTTTAGTCATATTTCAGACCATCATCTATCCTGTCAAATCTCATTTTTCAAGGCAAATAATTTATATCTAAACTAGACAAAACAACCTATAATTGTAGCTAATATAGATGCTTTCATTATTTGAAAGGTCAGTCATTACGTAGTCAGATTGACGAGCCTATAAGAGAAAATAGCATTAAGCTAAAAATTAACTAAATACCAATGAATCAATTTTATAAAAGTTGTACATCTTAGCTTATAGTCACTAAATACCCTACATCTAAGAAATTGGGAGTTTTTACAGACCTCAAACTTCAAATTTGATTACTTTGACTCGGTACCTAATTCTGATCTTAAATAAAATGATAGTACCTGTCTTGCAAACAACGGAAACAATTGATCTCTTAATAGAATTAGATTACTGGCTATACAAATAGAGAAAATTAGCCAATTTCGAGAAATAAATAAAAATTACATTATTGTTAGCTTTCTTCCCGTTTCTACTACAAATTCTAATAGAGCCCTTTTTGTGGTTAATTGGAGAAAGGAGTTTTCAGATGTTCGGGTGTTCTTTACACACCTCTACAAATCTAATTGGTCATATTCATGATTTAATTAATTTAAGCAGAATGTTTAGTTTCATATTTATGCAGAAAATAAGTCAGTAATTAGCATGCGCATATTTTTCGCGTTTCTGAAAGAAGAATGATGAATATATTTAGAACATCTCCCTAAAAAATATTTATAGCATCTTAGATGTGTATTACAGTGTACAAGCACCCAATAGCAATACAGCATTCAGTGTGATCTATTTATAGAAAACATATCTCAAGGCCACTGCTACGCAAAATAGAAGGAATGGGACAGACAGAAGCATGAGAGGGTGAGTGCATGCACACACAGAATTTGGTCTAACATTACGCAATTACCAATCAAAAGTCAGAATTGTTTTTAGCCAGTAAGCGAGCAGCTGGTCGTCCACGCACTAACAGTCATTGGCAGTTGAATGCCCACGTACTTCCCATTCCCATTTAACTAGTGGAAGGAGTTAACTCAAAGCAACCTGTGGGTAGTTGAAAACTTACTCTGTCCCTGTGTAATGCTCGTGTGCTCAGTTGCAGAGTGAGAACATCAACTTTGGACATGGGCTTCACTTTGACAATCATCACTCATGCAAGTTAACGAACTTAAAAACACCCGCTGTCAGAGGAAAAACAATTCGATTGAACGTATTACCACGACAATATGCCAACAACCGGTCAGTAAGTTTGAACCCGGTTCCACAAGGCAGCCTCTTTCCCATAAACAACTTTCTCAGGAGTACGAACGTTCCTCTTCATTGAGTGAGCTAATTGACCCCAACCCTCATCCAAAGGAGATCTTAGAGGCAGCCATAGGTCCATCAGTTCCTGTTGATCGTTTCTTAGCCTCGAAAATGACTGTCGCTTCTGTGAAGTCCGGTAATTCCATTTATGATAGAGTTGCCGCAGCCCTCAATCATTCGGAAATCACCCCTGCCCAAATCTTAGGACTCACGCCTGATCATCGCCGACATTCGGCCTTTGCATCTACTACAACTAACGTTACCTCCTCAACAGATCACATAAAATCCACCTCCGGGTCAAGTCAGTTAAGTTCGGGATCGTCATACACAGGATCTCTTGGTAAGCACCAAGCAATGATTGCCTCGACTACTCCTTCAGGATCAATTACCGCGGGGACATCCACTTCCTCTAAGTCACATGTCTCAACTCATGTGAGACAAAGACTCAAAGATTGTGTGCTTAACAAGAGAAGGAGTAAAGAAAGTGCAACAACTGGATCAGGAACAGCCTCCTTTATCTCTCCTTCCATGGAAATGGATGAAGATCGAAATACCACGCGTCGAGATTCGCATACTGGAGATGCCGAAAGTGGCTTTGCTATTGGAGGCTATGGCCTTCCGCAAATGATGTTTCTTCCTGGGCATTTAGCTGCTGGACAACAAGCTGCAGCAGCATTCTTGCCCGATATTAGAAAGAACTTCGCAAATCTGCCATCTTGGGTACTTGTTGCTCTGTCTGCAGGTCAGGAAATTCGTTCCAATGTGGACGCCCAAGTGTCTCAACCAAGAAATTCATCAACAGTATTGAGAAAGACCCTCTCTGAGCCAAGTTTAAAGATTCGCGGATGCAGTGGTGTTTTGAAGCATAAGAATAGTAGAAACGACAGGCGTGGGGTAAATGCGCTTGCAGTAGCAGCAGCTGTTGCAAGCTCTGCTCCCTACTTCGCAAATCAAATACGTGGACCAAGAAGTATTAGCGAGGCAGGAGATATCGGTCAGTGTTTGGGTGGTCACAAACCAACCTCTCGACCCCTACCCACCCTATCACTGTTAGGGTTAGAAAACAAAGAGCTGTCGAAACATTCCGAAGAATCCACTATTACCCCCATGGAAGTGGCCAATGAAGCTGATTCACAGGCAGCAACCGGAAGCGTGAATCTTAGAACAAATGATGTTGATATGAGCGAGACCACAAACGCTGTCTCAAAACCCTCTCAGTTAACAGATGAAAGCGAGGCTATTCAAGAGTTTCTTTCTTCCTTAGCTACAAATCCAGGTGCCCTGAGTGGAGGAATTTTCAAGACAACCCAAAATTATCTCAACCTCGTTCGAGAGTATATGAAACACGCAAATAAGAAGAATAGTCGAGGGGGTAGTCCAAAGAATCCGGAACAAATGGTGGCAGAAGAAGAAATGAGAGAAGGCGCTAGGAATCGACACCAACCTAATCAAGCCCCGTATAGACGATGTCGACAAGTATCAGGACTGCTTAGTCGAACGAGATCAGCCCCGATTCGGTTAACCGGAAATATTGGTCGTGGAAATTTTGGAGCTTCCACGAGTTCTGAGGGTGTTGGTTTGATGGAAAATCAAAGCGCAGCAGCTGGAGCTCTCTTGTCGGCAGCGTCAGCTATTGCTATGGAAGCTGCAACTTTGACGTCCACTTCAAACTCAAAAGTCATCGGCAAGTCAATGGTTGGCGGTGGTGCTCCTGAAGACGAACAGCGAAGCAAGATCATGCAGCAGTTACGGAGGAAATTGTTAGAAAAGTTAGTTTGCAAATTTATATTAATAGCAATTGCGATATAGCTGAACATTTAAAAATAGCCTAATCCACATTTTATTAGAATAATGACCCATCAAAATGTAAGAATTCCATAAAAGATCATTATTTTACGAGTCTTAGCAATTAATACGCTCATTTATACAAATTCAATTATTATTTTAACCTTGGAGTACCTTAAGCATTCAATGACAACGATATAATTTAATAGAAATAGTGGCTATTTTTTAATATTATTGCAAAATCCATAAGTAGTTTGCTTAACTGATCTTTATGTTTAAGTGTAATTTTTGAAAGTTATTATGCTATAACGTATGTTTTAAATTAGCCTAAAACTTTGTGCAATGTTTCATCTTGTGCAATTCGACTCAAAACGGAAAAATATCATTGTTTAAATTTTGTTTTAAAGGAGTGAATCACCCATTAACGAGCGTTATTCGGGTTCAACAAACAGTGGAAACGCGTGTGAAGCTTTCACAAACAAAGGAGGCCATCAGAACGTCAGCCCCCTTCTCGAAAGAACAGCTTCGAGTCCTGTAGTGACCTTGGCGAGAAGAACAACAACCGAAGCTCATGGGGTAAATTGAAGCACAAAATATATTTAAACTAGATTCTTTCAGTAATATGAAGGGGAATTTTTATTTAAGGTAATTTTTAAGCTAATTATTTATTTTTAGTTTTAAAGTTATATCAGGGAAAATTTGAGGGAAGGGGGTGTGTTGTATTATGTCTTCTCAAAATTAATAATTGCAATTTTAAATCTTTCTGATCAATAAGCAATTAAAATCTTCAATTTCCCCGAACGAAAACATTTTTTTATAAATTAAACGATTGTCGCTGCGTCGTTTATCCAGGGTTCTTTGTTAAAATTGTTTAAAATTTTATGTGTAAGCACTTAGCTTAAGTGAATCATCCTGATCAACCGAATGTTTAAAGTAATTTAGATAATACCGAGAGTGATATTCCATGAATATTCTTCCTTCCAAGTGTTTATGCTCTTAGACGTATAGTTTAGTTGTTGTAGATTAGCAAAGAAAGGGGGAAAGTATATGCTAATCGTAATCCTTAAAATTTTCAATCATGTTGAACAGAAATTCCATTTCTGGTGTTTTAAATAAGGCTTCAGCTGTCACTCTAATCTTGTATTTGAAGGGGTGCTAAAAATGGTCATGGTTTCTAGTTCAAAAATTTTACTCTTCTCTGTCTTGACATTTCAGTTAACCCAACCCCCCACCCCCCACCCCCCAACATCACACAATTACAAGGTAAATTAAATATAGATATATCTGTCTTTTAAAATGAGGTATCTGAGAAATTATGAAAAATATAGACTATTTTTATCCTCATAACCTACGTACACAACTTAAATTAATTCCATTCGAAACCAGACCTCAATCCTAGGCAATCCATGCGTGCTAATTATACAATACAGAGAGAATTTTACAAAGATAGTTTCAGAAGCCATCAATATTCTTCCTAAATATGGCAAATGTACGCCCACACGTAGCCGTCTTATCAACAGGAAGGCAGGTAGGTATGCCAGGTAACGGGAAAATAAACTTAAATTCGTCCCCATCTAAAAGTCATTTGTGTGCATGAATATCGCTCCAAAATGACACCTGATTGGTAAGATTATTATCCTCTATAAACACCTTTCACCAAACGATCAGTTCACTGCGTGTGATTTTTACGAGTTAGTAGAAATTGATGAAGAATGCGTAAAGTTTCAGAATGGGGATATTTAACTAAGAAGTCAGTGTTAAGTTGATTTCTCTTTTTGTCTGTCAATTAGATTACAGTTTAAGAAACTAAACTTGAAAAGTCATTGCAAGCAACTAATGTTGCAAACAAACGTCTTTTAATTTTTCTATGAGTAAAGACAACATGGACAATAAACTCACAATGGAACTTATATTAACATTTCTAATTTTTCAAGTATACGTTCGTAGCTAAATATATACGTTTTTTTCGATTCACTTATATCGCATTCACAGTAAAAAGTATATATTTTTGTTTAATTTTACTTAATAGTAATTAATTTGCCATAGTTAGTATGCGTTAATATTGTTATTTTTATTAACCAATCATTTTAGAGAATTGCAATAAACAAGAAGAACAACTTCGAGTACTTTTGCAGTGATGTCAATATTATTAGTATATACGCCAATTTAATGGATACGATTTATTAACTAAAACAAAAATAACAGTTAAAAACAAAGGAAATTTAAGAATAAATAAAATTACTTTTATATAAAGTTCTATCCCTACTGCAAAAGGAATTTTTAAGAGGCAGAATCGAAACCAAATTTTCAAACAGAATGTGTTAAATGGTAAATTATTTGTTTTATGCTTAAAAACAAGTGTGCTTAATATGTTTACTTTATGAAATTGTTAAATTGCTTTAATGAAAATCAGTGAGTTTCCGGATAACTCGCCATCATGAAATAACAGTAACACATTTAATTTATTAACTTATGCAATAATATAGTAGGCATTCTGTTCAAAATTGAGATGGGATAAAGAGAAGGAGCCAAACCAACCACTACCAAGCTTTTTGATGTGAGTATTGCCACGACATATAAAATAAGTCGCCTAAATGAAACTCTCCCTCTTTATACTAAACCAAAATGGTTGGAAGAATTTTAGTCTTATTTCTTCTGCCTTTATGCTACAGAACACAGCATTCACAACTGTCCTGGCCTATGATGTGGGTATGCTGGCACATAGATGTACCTGCCAGATCGATGCGAATCATCCCGAAAACCCTACGCGACTAGTCGCCATATGGCAGAGGCTTCAGGTAGGTATAATTGCATTTTTTCAAATTAAATTACGAACCTTTTCTAAAAGAACTTCTTTCATGGAGAGAGGGAAATGTTTAAGTCATCCCTCGAAGATAAAACATCAATTTTCATCCAAGGCTAAACAATGGTCCATGCCATTGTCTAATTGCTGAAGCAGCACTTTGAGTAGACGGCTTTTAAAGCAGTTGTTTTCTGCCAACTGTGATGTTGGAGGCGGTTTCAATAAAGTTTCATGTTTTCTTATTGAGCACTATTAACAACTTCTTCAAAATATAATTATGCATTGCATCCAACTATCCAATTCATTAAAGGTGATTGAACGCATATCGATATCAGCACAGAGGTGCAGCTACTATTTGCACGATACTCCAGAGAAATACTAGCACCTAATAGGAAAGAGTTTCCAAGCTATTGCTGATCGAAGCCATGCTAACTGCACAAACGAAATCTGAGTGGGGATAAGAAGAGTGTGAGAGTGTTAATATCTGGACTAAATGGTATTACCTGCAATGGGGGGTTGGCAGACAGAGAGCAAAAGTTCAATACGATGGAGATAGATAAGAGAAGGAAATTGGTAAATAGTCATAGGCTGAATGGAATGAACAAGATAGAAGACTAGATAAAATCTAAATATAATTCTGGATATGACTTGACTCAAATGAATGACAATAATCATAAAATGATATAAATATACTTCCTGTGTATTCATAATATACTAACAAGAATTCTGGGCCAATAATAAGGAAGTGAAATTTGCCTAAATAGACGCCCTGATATTCTGCTAACTCCAATCACCCAGACTTTCTCCTCGACATAGATAAAAAATAAGTACTTCATCTGTTCTTGCAATAGAGCAGATGAAGTCACGGAAATAGAGGATAGAGACATTATTGCTGCCTGATCAATCAGCCATTTCGGATTATTTCAAGGCATTGAAACTTAAGACCGATTAAGTAATATTCGAATAGGTGGATTGAGGAGAGTGAGAGGGAGGGAGCGGGGGGGAGCGGGGGGGAGAGAGTAAGGTAGCAAAGATATCTTGTAAAAGATTAACGTCATACAATCATTTTCGATTGGACAAAATTTCAGGGGCTAAAAATAAATCAATTTGGCAAAAGCGTTAACTACGATCTATTTTCGTTCTTATTTCCAAGAGTTTAGAAACCATTTTAGAACTTGAAAATTTGCTTCTTAAGTCAACTATTGCGAATATTCCAAAATTTAAAAAAATTTATTTTTAATAAATTTGTCTAGAGCACAAAACCTCTGATCTACTTTTAACTACAGCAACTATCGTTCGGATTATGCGTTTTTAAATAGTTTGTTTATTAATTGGCTTGATTTACCTATACCCATCAATTAGTTAAGATTAAGATCATTCATTTTAGAATTATAAGTTTTAATATGATAAGTTTCAAAAAATATACACATTATTAGCTTTCAAAGATTCTTCTCATGCAAATTTATAACTAATTAAATTATGGTATTTGAAGTGCCATCTTTTCCAAAACCGTATTTTTAAACTAGATTGTAAAGCAAAACAAATGTGTAAATATAATTTCATTCCTTAAAATAAAATAATGAATTCTTTTATTGTATTAAAATGTGAATTGACTTCTAGACATCCAGATTCTCAAAAACCTTTCCCTACTGTATTTTTATACCATTAAAAGGCTTTAGAACTCAAAAAAGCAACCTTTACTAACGTAAATTCATAATCATTTAAAGGTTTTGGTAAATATGACTCCTCATAGCTTAATGTCGTCATTAAAGAAAGAGATTTATTTGAAGATATTACATACGTTCAAGAATCACATGCCCATTCAACTGCAATTTCGATAGAATCTTAAATAATTTTGACTTAACTAAATTTGCATTACTATAAATCTTGTATGTATTCATCAATGGCCCTTTACAAATAAGGAAATATAATAAATTTCCTATTATTAGATATAAACGAGTGGGCTACATAGGTATCATAAAATTATATGGTTCCAATTTTAGAGGACCATCATTAAAATTTGAAGTTTATGTGCTGAGGCTGCCATTATCTAAATATAGTTAGAGAAATTTATTGCGCCATTATAGGCCCCCTAATGGAATATCAGACGGACATGATGAATTTATTTTGAATGTAGACATAAAATAATTACCACATTTATGATTATCTTTCTCAGATATATGTAACTTTTAATTTTTTGCCTTATAAATGCTCTAAAATGTAAGAAAAATGAGAAATCTATATTGGAATGTTGTGTGATTTATATTTATTTGCTGTTACCACACGTAGTCCGATGAATTTAGAACTATTCAACTAAAACTCTATAAGCAGTTATATTTTTAAGTTGAATACTAGGTAAGTGGCTAGAATGATTACAAAATTTTCTAACTTGAAAGCAATCGCCTTATTTTATTAAAGTTGCATTATTAAATAAAATAAAGAATAAAATGCATCACTGTTTAAATTTTGATTAATTTTAAATCAATCAGTTAAATATTTGCTGTGTTATTGTTTGTATGTAGTCAACAGGTCTGGCCGCAGAATGCCAGCATCAGCCAGGAAGACGAGCGGCTCTAACTGAACTTCAGTTGGTACATCGTGACATATATACCGTTCTCTTCGGCAGCAACCCAGCCAGTCGATCTCGAATTGATCCTGCACTGCTTGCTACGGTCCGGCTCTGTCGATTGCCATGTGGGGGTATCGGTGTAGATTCGGATACCGCTTGGCACACGGCCGGACATACAGCTCATGCAGCCCGACTAGCTACAGGATGTGTCATTGATCTGGCTTGTCGTATCATTCTGCGTCAAGCACCCAATGGATTTGCTCTTGTTCGACCACCCGGACATCATGCTGAACCTGGTCAAGCCATGGGTTTCTGTTACTTCAATTCTGTTGCTGTCGCCACGAGAAGAGCCCAACTTATTCGAGCCATGATCCCATCTTTTGATGATAATGCTCCCACTTCAAACACAAATACATATAACGCATCGGCTCTCCAAAGTCTCGAGAAGGCTGGAGCAACTGAAAGAACTAATGAGCACCAAATGGCTACTAAAATTCTAATTATAGATTGGGATGTCCACCATGGTAATGGAACCCAAACCATGTTCTACGCCGATCCTTCGGTACTCTATATTTCTTTACATCGGTTTGACGATGGTGCATTCTTTCCTGGAACTGGATCAATAGATGAAATCGGAACTGGAATGGGCATTGGATTCACGATCAATATTGCATGGCCCAAAGGAATCGGAATGGGAGATGCAGAATACCTAGCGGCATTTAGGTACATTGTTCTCCCAGTCGCCAAAGAATTCAAACCCGAGATGATTTTGGTGTCTTGTGGTTTTGACGCGGCTCCAGGCCATCCAGCAAACTTGGGAGGTTACAACGTAAGCCCAGCAGCTTTTGGGTGGATGACACGTCTGTTAACTGATCATGAAATCGCTGGTGGTCGAATAGCTCTGTGTCTTGAAGGAGGCTATGAGTTGAACAGTCTTTGCGATTGCTCTGAAGCCTGCATTCGGGCATTACTACGAGCGACTTATGAAAGAACATCGGGCCTGCAGGACGCTCCACTGCTAAACCGTCTACCTGACTCGGAAAGAACCCGAGAACCACATCCTGCAGCTCTAGAAACTCTGAAATATGTTGCTAGGCTACACTCCCCCCATTGGAAATGTCTCTCAAATGCTGAAATAATGAATACTCCCGCTGCCACTTGGCTACCATTAGGTGAGGAAGAAGAAAGAGCTATCATTCAGCCTACTTTAAAGTATCAAACAGTGAATCCAACAGAACAGTGTAGACGAGCGTTAGGAAAGTTGGATAGTAAGAACAAGCCAAGCTCATGGCCTGAGACTGAACTGGTACTTGAGTCAGGTAATAGTGGTTACCAACAAGCGAATCAGCGTAAATTTGTGAAACAGGCCTGTCTAGAAGTAGATGATGTTGTCTTGATTTCAGAGGATGTTCCACTAGATATGACGGCAAAGGCAATGAAGCAGCCTACTCAGAATGTTGCCATGCAGCCACCGGCTTTGAGTATGGATGCAGAGATAAGTGAGACCCCAGTAGAACACACTGATCCAATTGCAGCTGCTGCTCTCGCCGGTCTAGCTGAACTCCACGTGACTCCCCACATTACAAGATATATGTGACCTCTTGAACTTCCTCCAACTTCACTCCGTAATGTTGTAATTTGATCTCTCACAGGACACCACCCACTCATATTATTTTAATCTCTCTCTCGTATATTCAGTTTAGTTTATTCTATATCTCTTTGCTGTAATACCAATCTCCTTGTATATAGTCATTTTGCTATGACTTCTTAGACTTGATCTCTTCTTCATTTCACCTACCCCTGCCCCTCCCCCTCCTGCGTAATTGTTTCTGTCGCATATTATGATCTAATTGTCATTCCAACCTCGCGGACATTCTACTTCTAGGGAGAATCGGAGTTTTAATCAATTGTTGGCGAGATAATCGATTGGGAACTCTCGATGACTGTATACTGTTAAGCGTCTGCGCGAAGTTCATTAAGATTTCTTTCCCTCTCTCCCTTTCTCTCTCTCCCCTATTTTTAGAAACATGACCCCACTTAACCTATTTTGCATTCCATCTACTACCGCTACTAGGAAGTCTTGCTTGCTTGAGATTGCTTTCTTTTCTACACAGTTCGACAATCTACTGCTTGTGGAAGTCAATGCTTAAACTCGATAAATGTCGCGTGTATAACGCCAAGCATCCATTGTTCGACACTTGTTAAGATTAAATGAAATTACTGTTCATTTTCAAGTGTCTTTCTTCCCCCTGCTCTCGTTATTTCTGTGGTGGATGTAGATGATTTAATTTTACTCGGTGGTAGTTAGGAGGTTGTTGCCTTAGAATTTAATATGGCCGATTGTTTAATCATAGGGCTAGGTTCTATCTCATGGTAAAATTTCAATATAATCTTCTTTGAAATTCGTTAGTATCAATCAAATTAATTCATAGGAGACGGGTCAAACAGAATTCGAGAATTCTGAAAATTGTGACAAATAGAATTTGAGCTAACCTACTATGCTCATCAAGTTAAATCGGCAGTTTACTTCGATAATATAATTAGTAAGAGGGTCAAAGTCTCCTGTCTGTAAGTATTTAATAAGGAGGCTATAAATAAGGAATAATGGACTTCAAGTCATGCCGTCCATTGAAGATCTACTCATCGAAAGGCGATGACAGCTTTTTCAAGGCAGTTTTAAAGATTTAAATTATTGCTGTATGGATCTTTAAAGTGAATATTTATTACTTATTTTTAATAGCCATTTTAGGGCATCTTTCCATTGTCGCACAATTTTTTATATCAAAAAATTGTGAAAATTCCAAAACACTTTAAATACATCTTTTTGCTTAAGTAGTATCAAAGGTACACTTTCTTCAAATTAACAGTCTGCCTTCTCAGTGTCGCCAATTCCGAACACAAGCTCCTTTAAATTGACTTTTAGGTGCTTAAATATGCATTCACTTATAAAGAATTGTAATCAGTCTATCCAAAAATTTCATCCTTCCGACTAGTCTCCCGTCGATTTATTTAGGAATTCATTTTTTTTCTTTATAAGGCATCTTTTTTTAAGTGGAAGGTGTTTTCCAATCACTTGGAGATCGGGGATACCGTGGTTTGGATCCCAAACTGAATGCCTAATACTTCCACATCATGTGACACTGTCTACTACTTACACCCAGCATTCATTAATAATTTGTCCACTGCTATTCGAATCAGTGTAAGCTCGTTTGCTATAAGGGCAGAGGAAATCACGGAGGTTATTTAATCCTGACCGAAAGAAGTATGTCCCAAGAAAAAAACCATAATTATTGCCTGATATTTTTAATCGTTCGGGTAATTTTAGTGAGGAATTGTCAAAATAATGGTGAGAAAAAATAATAGATTTGTAATCGTTCACATTGACTTTGAGAAGATTGGTAAGCAGAAATGGCATCAAAATTTACTCATTTGGACTAACCGGCAAAATAGTTCCGGAAATCGTGAATGCAAACTCATTCAAAATAGGCAATGATACAATCCTGAAAATAGTGTTTTGGAAATTAAGATATTTATTTATTTCAAATGGCAGGCGTTTTGATAATTAACATCAGCCCTTTAGCTAACTTTGGGCTTTACAGAGAGGAGGAGGAACATCAAAGTGGCAGAAAGTCGAGAGGGCTGAAAGGATAATGTTCCACAGTTGTGAAAGAGACAGACAAATACAAAGGCAGAGAAAAGGTAAGATGAGTACTGTGAAAGGCATTGTT